GAGGAAGAGAATGTTTCCTCAGTCTGCTGACAACTTGGGTTGATGAGAGGGCTCCTCAGCCTCCCCTGATGAATAGGCCAGTACTGCCAGAAAACCTGAATGTCACAGATCAGACTAATGTGTAGAAAACATGGCCCTGGCCATAGTCTGCATACACTTCTGTGTGCCTGATACAAATGCAACTTTGTGGAGAAGCTCACTGCATGGTAAGGCCACTGCACAGATACTGGGGACTGAATAATTGTGTGTCATCCCACCAAGTCCCACAACCAACTCAATACACACGAAGGTTTCCATCCACGTCAGCCAGAATAGCCAGAGAAGTTGCTGAGTGCCAATGATGTCATTTCATACTCCAGCAGTACTGCGCGTGCAGACCGCCTTGGTGCACATGACCTCATGTTCAAAACCAAACATGAGCTAAACTGTTACAAGTTCCAACAGACACCTGAGAAAACCTGAGGCTTGGCAAAGGGAAGGGCCTTGTTCAAGGTTGTGGCTAGTGAGTACCAACGCCAAGACTCCATCCCCAGACTCCCTGGACCTCTTGAGTGGAAAGGCCCCAGGACGTGGTCCTCCCTAAGTGCCTGCAGCTGTGACTGGGAGGCCAGGCTGACACAAGCCCCTCCCAGGAAGCCCCAGGGCACCACTGTTTCTAAACACAGAAGGCTTGCTCACGGCCTCCCAGGGACCCCAGTCGTAGGAAGCCTACCCCTTGATGAGAAAAGAACTCCCTACCTGGGTAAGGGATGGAGAGGAGAGTGAAGTCGGCATAGCGCTGGGCTTTGTCCACCTTCTCAGAGGAGGTTACGCTACAAGACAGGAACACAACGTGTTATGGCATCACAACAACACACGCCACTCCCCGCATGAGTACGGTAACGACCTTTTACTAAGAAACTATTCTTCAGCGTTCAGAATGATTCCCCTCAGCAGTGTTTACTTTGAACAGTTAAGAGACCTGACTTCTCCACCCTCTACTCCAACATGTCAGGTGAGAGCCGAGAGCCGTCACTCTCTAATACTGCAGCCAGCCTCAGCTAGAACCCGCTCTGCAGCGCCACCTTCCATCAAATGTACGCAGCGCAGCCACTCTGACCTGGGGGGTGGAGTGAGACGAGAGCCACCTAACGAAGGCAAGCTCTAGAGGAGCTCCCTGCTCTGCCCTCTCCTCTTTCACAGAGGCCACTTTCAAACAAGGGGAACAGCTGAAAACAAACACTACTGTGACAGATGACAAAGGGAGCCATAGAGGATATATAGGTATCTACAGGAGGCCGCCCTCCGACTTTAGCATCATTATGTCTTGTTTTCTAAAACAACCTTCTAGGATAAAGGGGGGAAAAAAAGAAAAATTAAAAAACCTGTTGGGGGCCAGCTGAGTGGTTAAGGTGGCTAGATCCCACACGGTTGCCAATGTGGTTAAGAGTCCTAGACCCAGCACCTTGAAAAACACACCAGGCCTGAGTGTATACATGCCCAAAGTCCCGAGAGAAAGGAGAAGAAGGGAGTGTACCGTGGCCATCCCCTCTGGGGTGCTTTCTCACTCCTACCTCCTGTCTCTCTCTGGCGAGCATATGCACCTTATAGCAAATTCATTTTAGTTTTTAAATATTATTTTCAATTTCTTTCTGATGAGGGCAAGTGCACTCATCAGAAAGAGAGAGACAGCATGCAAGAGAGAAAGTCAGAAAGCAAGCCGCCAGGTCTAGGACTCACACGTAACCATGCGGGAGGTCCAGCACCTTAAACACCATGCCACCTGCTGGCCTCAGTAAATTTTAAAAAAGAAAAGAAAAAAACTTTCAGTGGTTAAGGCACTGGATGTCAGCCAGCCCTGCAGTTTTAGTGGTTAAGGGAGCTGGATCCCACGTGGCCAACTACAGTTAGAATTCTGGCCCTGGTGGCTGGAAGAACATGTTAGGGGCATGTGCGTCTGTGCCCAAAATGCATACAGGATGAAGAAGGGGAAAAGGAGGGAGTACAGCATGACCATGCCCCGCTGGAGAGGAGGTGCTTTCTCCTTCTCTTTCTGTTGCTCTTTGGCAAGTTCAAGTGTCCTCCAGAAATTAAAAAAATATGGTGGTGGTGGTGGGGGGGAACAGTAGGTGGTACAGTGGTGGTTAAGGCACTAGATTCCCTACATGGCTTACCATAGTTCAAGTTCTGGCCTTGGCAGCATGAAAATCACACTGGGTGCATATGCATGTGTGCCCAAAATTCTGAGAGGGGAATGGAAGAGAAGGGACTGCAGTGTGGCCATCCCCTCTGGGGAGTAATTTCCCACTTTCCCTCTCTCTCTCTGTCTCTCTCTGGTGAGTGTGCATGTCCTATTGCAAAAACAAAAACAAAACTGTTTTGGAAAAAGCTCCTATAATTTCATTACCATAATCCAGGCTCCATAATTTCAAAGTTTTGCCTTATTACATAGATTTTGCTCATGTATATATTTTTACATAGCAATCACTGAAGTAAAAACTGGATATACAGGGAACCAGCAGTTAGCGTAATAGCTATGTCGCTGGATTCCCATGTAGTTGACTGCGGTTCGCGTCCCGGACCCAGTGGCTTAAAACTCACGCCAGGCACGTGTGCGTGCGTGCCCAAGATTCCGAGAGGAGAATGGAAGAGAAGGGATTGCAGTGTGACCATCCCCTCTGGGGGGTGATGTCTCGCTTTCTGTCTCTCTGTCTCTCTCTGTCTGTCTGGCGAGCACACGTGCCCTATAGCGAAAACCTCTCAAAAAAAAAACAAACAAACAAACAAAAAAAAACAACTGGATATACACTGAATTTCTGTCTCCACTTTAAAGAAGATTTTGATGGGGCCAGCAGGTGGCGTGATGGTTAAGGCACTGGACTCCCACATGGCTGACCACAGTTCAAGTCCTGGGACCAGTGGCTTGAACCAGGCACATATGCAGGCATGACCAAAATCCCAGGAGGAAAATGGAGAAGGAATTGTGGAATGGTCATCTCCTCTGGGGTTGCTTTCTCACTTTCCCTCTGCCTCTCTCTGGTGAGCACATGAGCCCTATGGCGAAAACCTTACAAAAAATTAAAAAAAAATAAAAACAGACTCTGATCTACCAGAAATGGCATTAAACTTGTAGTCAGGAAGGAAGAAAAGGGCGCACAGGGGAAGGTATAATAGACACTGGTTAGAGACTCACAGCTCCCTTAGTTTCTAATACATTATTTTGAGCAAGTTATTTAACTTCTCGCTACCTCAGTTTCTTGTGAGCCGGGGACACCAGGACCTGCACTGCAAAGCTATTTGAGGGTACAGTGGATGTGACATGCAGAGGACACACAGAAAGGCCCTGGCACTAGGGCAGCACGGGGTCGCTGTCTGCATTCTCGTCAAGCCCACGAGCCGAGCCTGCGAACACACTGCCTCTGCCTTTCCGAGGTGGGTGCCCTGCACTTACTTCATGCCAAACTTCACCTTCTTGTTCTCCACCATCAGGTCACAGATATACTTGACTGACAGGTACCGAAGCAGCCTGATGTCATAGCCCCTGACCTTGTCAAACAGATGCGTGTCGCCACTTCTGAAATAAAGAGCAGAGGGAGAGGTCATGCAGCATGCTCACTCAGCGGGGTCTGGGACTGGGGAGCTCATTCAGGGAAGAACGGATGTCATGGGAAGAACTTGGGTTTCTGCTCTGCAAAAGCCAGAGCAAGGGGACAAGCAGACTGATTCCAGAGAGGTCACAGGGAAGGTGACTCTCATTTCTGTTTTTAAAGATTTATTTATTTTGGGAACCAGCAGTTAGCGTAATGGCTATGTCGCTGGACTCCCACGTAGTCGAGCGCGGTTCGTGTCCCGGACCCGGTGGCTTAAAACTCACGCCGGGCGCGTGTGCGTGCGTGCCCAAGATCCCGAGAGGAGAATGGAGGAGAAGGGATTGCAACGTGACCATCCCCCCTGGGGGGTGATTTTTTGCTTTCTGTCTCTATGTCTCTCTCTGTCTGTCTGGCGAGTGCACGCGCCCTACAGTGAAAATCTCTCCAAAAAAAAAAAGATTTATTTATTTTATTATTATTTATTCAATTTAACCAGAGAAAGAGAGGGAGTGAGAAAGCACGCCATCCAGTTCAGGACTCAAACCACAGTGGCAATTTGGGAGTCCAGCGGCTTAAACACCATGGCACCTGCAAGCCCTGGAAGGTGACTTAGTTTCTTTCTTTCTTAATTTAACTTTATTTATTTATTTAAATTTGACCAGAGAGGGACATAGAGAGAGAGAGAAAGAGAGAGAGAGAGAGAAAGTGAGAAAGTAAGCCGCCAGGTCCAGGACTCAAATTGCAGTCAGCCATGTGGGAATCAAGTGCCCTTAACCACCACCGCCTGCCAGCCGTAGGAAGGTGAAGCTCTAGAAGATTCAGGCAGACTAATTCCAGGGAGGTCACAGGGAAGGTGACTTTCTAAGAGATTACCGCTATCTCTAGGATGCATTTCAAAGAACAGCAATTTGCAGCCAGAAATGGGAAAGGGCTTTCTGGTGCTGCTTGACATTAATCCAGAAGACTCAAGATAATCTTGGAATTCTAAAAAGCGGCAAGCTGATGGCTCAGACTCTGAGCTTCCATTAGAGGTGATCTCCCTCCACCCACTCACTTTCCTCTCAGGTCGGACCATTTTTAGCCACATGATTTGTTCATGATGTAACAGACTGAAATTCTTGTAGAGATAAACTTTTTAGAGATATTTTACCAACTGATTGTGAAATACTAGCTAGTGAATCCCCCCCATTTAGTAGGCCTGTACAGCAGGCAGATAAACTTTGTCTAATCTCCAGGCTGCCTTTAGATTGGCCATGCAGGTACAGACAGACACAGACAAAAGCAGAACTGATAAACAGTTCCCATTTGAATTGTTAATGTCCACTTCCTCTGACCCCATCAGTCCCCTCACAAGAAAATACATGCTGCAGACGACGACCTGGCTGAGGCAGTGGTTGCCTGAGCTTAGGGGACAAGCCAAACATTCTTGAGCACAAGCCAGAGCCACTGACTCCAGGGCTGACAGGCAGAGCCTGGGGATAGCAAGACACCCTTTCACGAACCTGGGCCATGACTTGGGTGGCTGACCTCACGAGGGTCTGTGGGGCATTCCAGGGATGCTTGATAGCAGCTTACAGACGTTCCACGTGGTACGGACCACGCAAAGGAGCTTTTCTAAATACCTTAAAGTGCTGTTTTCTAGAAACATGTGCAAAGGGGATTGGAAAGTGTGAAGCAGCCCGTTTCTTCTCTTCACAGGGGCTCAAAATACTGCTTTGTGTCAATCCCTTCTTATGGCACCAGTCATACGGCTGTGCAGCTACTAGGCCCTATATGTGTCTCCTACACAGGGACCTCCCTTGCCCTTGCCTCGGTACAGGTGTGTGGCGTGGTACTCGGCACGGAAGTGGTCAGCAACCGTACCGCATACTGGAAACCCTGTGAGGCTTTACAACAATACCAGATGGTTTGTGACTCATGGTGTCTGGCTTGACAGTGGGTTCATCAGGACGTAACATCTTCACAGCATGTGAACTTACAATGGTCTGATTCACAATTCTGCCACTTAACGGTGGATTTACTGGGGTATTAAACACACTTTCTACTTAGGTACACACCTGCACACCTGGGGGCTATACAGCGGCACTCTGGGAGCATGACCCACATGGGAGGGTCCCGGGTTTGTGCCCAGACACCTCAGTGAGTATACACGTGTGTGCCCAGGATCTAGGGTTGGCTGAATCTAGGGGTGGATCTCATCAGGACCCTGTTGGGGGTGCTGGCTCTCTTTCTCATGGAATAGATACTTTTGAAAACTGCACACCTGGGGGCCAGTAGATGGCATAGACATTATGTCACTGGACTCCCATGTGGCCAACCATGGTTCGAGTCCTGGACTCGGGGACTTGAAAATCATCCCAGGCACATGCGTGTATGTCTGTGTCCAAAATCCCAGGAGGAGAATGGAGCAGAAGGGATTGCAGCAAGGCCATCTCCCCTGGGGGGTGATTTCTCATTTTCCCTTTCACTGTCTCTGTCTCTCTCCCCAGTGAGTGCACATGCCCTAAGACAAAAACCTCAAAAAAAAAAGTAAGTGCACATATGTGCATGGGGTTAAGGTGGCTGGATTCCATGTGGACAACAGTGTGGTTCCAGTCCCAGATCCGGCAAAGTAAAAGATGCCAGGTGCATGTGCATGCGTATCGAAAATTCCAAGAGGAGAACTAGAAAAGGGACTGCAGCCAACCCGATGAGAGATGCTACCTCAGCTTCCCTCTTTCTCTTTGCCTCTCTCCAGTGAGCACATGTGCCCTCTAGCAAATTAAAACAAACAAACAAAGGAGCACATCTGTACAGGTGGTTAGGCTGTCTCAGACCTGCGGTACCAGGAACTCCGGGGTGGAACCTTCTGAGATGCTGAAGGAGACAGGAAGGAGACAGATCATGCAAGTATTCACAGAGTCAGCTCTGTGATGACGCTACCGCATGAACTTCCACAGACTTGGTAGACAATGGGAAAGAGGCCAACGCACTCACCCAGAGCAGTGATGAATATTTGTCAGAGCATGAAAGCATACCACTGGCAGACACCCACACCCAACACAAGCCCCTGACCACAGAGACCCAGCACTCACCGAAGAGCACAGTCCTCCTCTGTGACATCCTCTACATCTGCCCAGGCATCGTCTGCACCCCCTGCCAGAGAAATCAGTTTGTCACACAGGGGCCAATGGCACAGAGCTCCACCCAGGGGCTTCTTAACCAGTCCCCAACGGCAGTGTGGGCTGGCCTGGCTCCACCCTGAGAACAGCCATCATGTTGCTTTCCCCACCACACGCCCCATAGGACTGGGCATTCTTCCTTTACTCCTTAGGTAAATTCCTGCCTGTCTCTGGGTCCCCAATGAAAGGAAGGCCTCTGGTCTCCACTCAGCCTGCTCACGCCCTCTACGTAGCCCCTGTGGCCATAACGGCTACACTCTCAGCCTAGGCTCTTGTTCTCAGCCACAGAACATGCTCGACACTCACCTGAGAAAATATAGTTGTAGCCAGAGCGTCCATACAGCTCCCCCCATCCAGCCAGCGTGGCCGACCTGCAAATGTGCTGAGAGAAACAGCAGTTTCAGGGTCGGGTGATTTTCAGAAACCATGCCACTGAAGCAGCACCGGAGGGGATGCAGGTTCTCCCAGGCCACCACAATGGGTCTAGGAACACTCCCCAAATCTTGTCAGCATCTAGGACACAGCAGTCAGGTTGAAGGACGCCTGGAATGTTATCCATAGCCCCTATCAAGGGAATCTCTCTCCCAGGAGAGGAGCCAGTGTCAGTAAGAGTCACAGGTGAGCCCTGGCAGCTGGCATGTGCACCACGTGCTGCAGTGCTGGGTGTGGTACCGATGTGTCACACCATCTTTGCACTGAACTGTACAATAGGCAGTGAGGACATGGCAGGCGGCATGCACAGATGAAGAAAAGGAAAATGGGCAGGGAGGTTAAGTGATGAGCATGGCCATATGGCCAGGCTATGCTGGTCCTCCATCCAGACCCACCTGCCTAACTGTTCTCGTGGTTACCAGAACAGTTAAATGTGCCGAGTGTGGTGGAGGGCAAACTATGTAGCAGGGGCTGATTAGAGGAGAGATGTTTTGAGGCTTTCTGTTTTAAAGAAAATTACCACAGAAAGTTGGTGCCAGTAACTGTGCTTAAATTTATTCTTTCACTCTTTTGTCAATGAAGAAACCATTTTTTTTTTGGAGAGATTTTCACTGTAGGGCGCGTGCGCTCGCCAGACAGACAGAGAGAGACATAGAGACAGAAAGCAAGAAATCACCCCCCAGGGGGGATGGTCACGCCGCAATCCCTTCTCCTCCATTCTCCTCTCGGGATCTTGGGCACGCACGCACACATGCCCGGCGTGAGCTTTAAGCCACACGGTCCGGGACACGAACCGCGGTCGACTACGTGGGAGCCCAGCGACATAGCCATTACGCTAACTGCTGGTTCCCCCAAGAAACCATTTTGAGGGTTAGGATTCTAGGCAAGTGCATAAACTTCAGTATCTTCTTGTGATGTTGTGCCTTTGGCTGAATTGTCAGCTGAGCCCCAGAAGGGGCAGGGTGGGGAGGACACACCTGGCGATGGGAACCAGTCCAGAGCTGGCCAATGGTTGGGAGAATAGGACCCAGAACACTGGAGTGGGGAAGCTGCGAGGGGGCAGAGAAAGTGAAGCTCATTTCTAAATGGGCCACACAGTTTGGCAACGTAAAGGGGTCCCCTGGAAGACTGCAAAACGCCGTCTAAAGGCTTCTCCTCTACCTGTAAGACAACGGGAAGAGAAAGCTTGGCTGCCACAGGGGAGGGCTGTAGGAGCAAGGCCTGGTCACCTCTGGCTCTCCCTGAGATTGCAGCAGCCTGGGGGTGGAAGAAGCAGCAGAAAAGCAACCTGGATAAATCCTGGGGCAGGGTGGGGTGTTTTTTTGGTGAGTGAGTACTTGAGGAGGTTGTCAAGTGTATGGAAGAGGACTTGGGCTGGGACTCCTGCTGGTCTAAGCAGAACGCACGCCAGTGGGGGCCACAACTTTTTCTGGATCTAAAGGCATTTTGAAAATCTGATGAAAACTATCAACTATCTCCAGAAGAAAAAAAATAGACTTCAGCTTACAAACATCTGCAAGAATTCCTGGATTGTCCCAAGTCCCTCTATAGACCCACTCCGAACCCCATCACAAGGTCTTATTTTAAGGAAATCTGGCATGCAGTTAGGAGCAGCAAGGCAGAGCACTTTGGCCAGAGGCTGAGGAGGCGGGAGACTCCAGTGGTGGGAGAGGCCTGACTGCAAGCTGCGAGCACCTCTGTGGGAGACAAGCAGCTGTCCAAGTCCGAGTCCAAGTGGTGCGAGCGCCATGCCCACCTCCCTGGATCACCCAAACTACAGGCATCTGACCTTATGCTCCGCTTCAGAGCAGACTGCTGCGCTCTTGGGCGCTGAGCTCTGAGACCCTCCTCTGCTCCCAGTTCTCCTCTCAAACCCGTTCAACTGTCTGTCTTTTTAGCAACCAAGCCAGCCAGACCGGGGCCAAGTGGGACTCATCTGGAGTCAGGTGGAAAGAACAAGTGAACTGGGTGCCCGACTCTTGGGGAAGGTCCTGTGCTGGCACATGGGGAAAGGCTCACCCCAGTGGAGCCTGCAATAACACCCGCTCTGATCCAGAAGCCATCCTTTCTGCACTTTCCACCGAGCTGTTGACAGAACCCAGACAGACCCGAACGCGCCCCAGCTTATTAAGGATGGCTTGGATTCTGCACGTGGACTCGCACTCTGCCAGATCTAGGACCAACTCTGGCGCCGAAATATAGGTGGCTGGCCTCGGCTCCTCATCTCTTATGAGAGGAAGCCAAGAGAAAAATAAACTATCCCAGGTATCTTTTTGATTTTTGTTTTAGTTTTTTTTTCTTCTCCCTGCTAGAGGGCACTCATGCTCACTAGAAAGAAACAGAGAAAAAGGGAGATAGCACCCGTGATGGGGCATGGTCACTCCACAATCTCTATTCCTCCAACCCTCCATCCTACTGGGACATGCGTGTGTGTGTGTATGTGCGTGTGTGTGCCCAGAATCCCAGGGGGAGAAGAGAAGGGACTGCAGTGTGGCCATCCCCACGGGGTGGGAGGGGGGGATAATTTCTCATTTCCCTTCTTACTGCCTTTCTCTGCCTCTCTCCAACAAGTGCACGCACCTATCCCAAAACCTTTAAGAAATATATTTTCTGGACCAGCAGTTGGCATAATGGCTATGTCGCTGGACTCCCATGTAGTTGACTGTGGTTCGAATCCCAGTGGCTTAAACTCATGCCGGGCACTTGTGCATGCGTGCCCAAGATCCCGAGAGGAGAGTGGAGGAGAAGGGATTGTGGCGTGGCCATCTCCGCTGGGGGGTGATTTCTCGTTTTCTGTCCCTCTGTCTTTGTCTTTCTAGTGAGCATACGTGCTCTATACCAAAAACCTCTCCCAAAAAAAGGAAAGATATATTTTTTGTATCAAAGCTTCAATACTCTGATGTATATCTGACATTGACAACATACCTCTAATAGGACACTAAATTTTCAACATTTAAGGGGAAATATAGTCCTACTTTAAAATAAGGTGCCTTTTTAGGCTTTGGCCATAGGGCATGTGAGCGTGCTAGAGACAGAGAGACAGACACAGAGACAGGGAAGGTGAGACAGCACTCTAGGGACGATGGCCTCACCACAATCCACTCTTCCCCATTCTCCTTTCAGGATTCTGGGCATGCACACATGACTGGTGTGACTTTCAAGCCTCGAGGTCCAGGTCTCAAATCGTGGTTGGCCATGTGGGAGTCCAGCACTTTAACCACCATGCCACCTGCCAGCCCCTAAAGTTATTTTTATCAATCAAAACAAATAAAAACCTTTAACATTGCTTTAGTTTAAAAACTTAAATTGAAATGAAATTTACTTGCTCAGTTGTACTAGCCACAATGAACTGAGTTTTGAGAGAAGGAAGAAGCAAGCATTTAACACACCTACCGCTCCCCACAACCTGGCAGAGGGAGATGCCCTTGAAATGGTGCTGAGAGAACATTAGTGCTCCAGTGCCTGCTGTGAGCCATAGGCACGAGGGCTGGACCCCAATTCAGAACAGAAGTCATTCTCCAGCCCTTCCCAATTCCCTCCAATTGCCTGCTCACCCATCTGCCTTCCCCACTGCCTGAGCTCTACAGGGACAAGGAATCTTTCCCCAGAACCCAGGTCGGGGCCCATTGCTGCTTCATCCACAGCGGCATCTTCCGGCCAAATGTGCACCTCTGTGCTGGGTATGCTGCAGGTGCTGGAAGGAAAGCAGTCAGGTGAGGCATCTGCCCCCAGGGGGATTACAGCAGAGGGAAAAACAGACACTCCAGCACCAATGAGAATGAGGTGTACACAAACAGGTGTTTACGTTGGCACTGCATGAGCGAGGGGAAATTCCACTAAAGGGTATGAAATGGCATCACCCTGCCTGGATGCAAAGGCACAAAGGAAAAGGGGACAGATTAATGGCAAAGCCTCCTCAGGCTGATCCTCACAGCTAACTCATCTCCACCCCTCTGCAATCAGCTGGCCCGGGGCTCTTCCCTCACAGGTTTGCCTGGAGCCTAAGTGCTAACAATCTGTCTTCAGGCCACCCTACTGAACTGAGCCCTGAGACACTGGAGCTGTTTACTGTGGGGCTCCCCAACGCCCTAGGTAAAGCTCTTCACTCCTGGCCTGCAAGGAAGTAGTCCAGGCCTGACGAGGTGGCCGAGGCCTTCTCAGAGTCTTGCCACACTCACTCATGCACATTAACGCTTTTTACTGGATATTAGAAGTTAGGCCAAATGTGCACGTGGCATTTCTCATGACAATTTGTGTCTCACAAGCATATCCTTCAACTGCTGTAGTATGGAACACACTTTGGGAAATGCTGCCTGGACTGAAATACCGAGAGCCTGGAGGACAGGAGAGCAGGGATGGGCCTGTTCTGTCAGACAGGGCCTGCACTGTGTCCCCGTGGGGAGTAAACTCAGGTGTGGTCACCTGGCCTCAGGGCGGCAGGGCAGGGCAGGGCAGGGCGCTGAGGAGTCTGAGTGTTGTCTCAGTACCTGGAGTGCCTTTCTTTTGTAAAGGGGAGAAAGAGTCCAGTGAGCAGTTGAGAAAGGAGACTGTAGAACGCTTTGTTGGGCAGATCAGTCCTAAAGAACAACATGCATAAAATGTAGGGCCCCAAAACTGACCTCCTTACGGATGACTGTTACCACTTTACAAAGTTTCCATGTTCCTGAAAGTTACTGGAGCTTCAGTTTAAAGACTCCTGTTCCGTGGAACATGGAGGTGCTTTCTCACCTTCCCTATTTAGCTTGTCACCAGAAGCTGTGTAGAAAATACTCCATAAACTTTATTTTGGAAGAATTCTTTTATTTAACTTTATTTATTTATTTGAACAGAGATGGACAGAGTGAGAGAGTGTGAGAAAGCAAGCCACCAGGTCCAGGACTTGAACGGCAGCTAGCCATGCGCGAGTCCAGCACCCTTAACTACCACACCACTGGCGGGCCCCACTCCTAAACCTTTAATGTACTATTATTATTCTCATTTCATTCAAGAAGAAACAAGCCTTGCTCGGGCAGGAAGTAGGAGAGCCAGAGCATGAATTTCGGTGGGCCGGCTTAGGTGAGGGTGTAGTATGAATATCCCTTTCCTTCCTAGCACCATCCAGGCATCAGGATTGGTCTGTTAAGCCTGCCTCCCACAGCATCAAGTACCCAGTGCCCACCCACCCTTCACCTGGTAAATGTTGAGAACAAAAAGACCCTATACTTTGTATTAAACCCAAGAAGAGGCTGTTGGAGTGTGAAGCTATGGTGAGGCCTTACCTTGCCCTTGAACAGGATCACTGGGCAGACGAACCGTCCTCGGCACCTGGCCATCTTGCTGCGGTTGATGAGGTCTTGCAACTTGCTCACCTGCACGGTGCTCTCAAACCTAACACGCGGGCAACAGAAGCAGGTCAGGCTGGCTTCCAGGTGGGCATGCTGTTCATGTGTGTTTGTTCACACAGACCCTATCTAATTGTGTAGGTGTGTGGGGATAGTCATTTGAAATGTAGGAACTGCTAAAATTCCAAAGTTCTTGATCAAAGATATATTACGTTTTTCAGAGGGGAAAAAAGTACTAATTACAGATATTAAAATTTGTTACCGATTTCAGAACCTAAAAATTCATCATAAATGATGAAAATGAGCTAAACTGAACACATGGTATATGCAGTACAAAAATATACATAGTAAACTAGTGTCAAACTTTTTTTAGAACTATTTACTTATTTTATTATTTTTTAAAATTTTGTTATAGGGCATGTACACTCACCAGAGACAGAGAGAGAGAGAAAGAGAGAGACAGACAGAAAGTGAGAAAGCAAGCCACCAAGTGTAGGAATCAAATAGCGGCTGACCATACGGGAGTCTAGCACCTTAATAACATCACCAGTACCCTAACCATCCACCACCTTAACCAGGGGCCACCTGCTGGTTTTTACAGTAGCAAAGAGATTTAAAAAAAAAAAAAAAAAAAAAAAAAAAAAAAAAAACAGAAATTTTTGGGGGGTTGTTTTGGGGGGTGTTTCTGTGTTTTTTTTTTTTTTTTTTTTTTTTGCTATAGGGTGCATGCACCAGCCAGAGAAGGAGACAAAGAGAGAGAAAGTGAGAAATCACCCAGCAGGGTGCATGGTCACACCACAATCCCTTCTCTTCCAGTATCCTCTCAAGATTCTGGATACACACACACATCTATGTCCAGTGGGAGGAGTTTTAAGCTGGTCCAGGACTTGAACTGTGGTCAACTACGAAGGAGTCCAGTGATGTAACCATTACACTATCTGCTAGTCTCTAGTAACCAATTTTTAGCTTCCAGGGTGCCTTGTGCTCTGGGGATCTTCTCAAATAATAGGACCATTTTTGTGATGTTTTTGGGGTAGAATGAGATCGAGGTTCATGGCTACATGGCTATAAAACTCTGATATCTTTTTTACATCCCAGATATCATTAGCAGTCCAAATAGCCAACGGGACAGAGAACACTGGGGGCAAGGAAAGCAAAGAGAAGCTGTCCTGGCATTTAGAAATGCAGCAATTAGAGCACCAGGTTTAGCAGTAGTGCTCCCGGAACACAGGGGTCAGGTTCAGATGGCCTCCAGAGAGTCACACCTACCCTTCAACAAGGGTCTACTCTGGTAGACTCAACTATTACGCTTAGCCAAGCATCACACTGGCTAGTCAGGGCCTTGGTGGCAGGAGGTCAGAATAGGCAGCTTTCCCCACTATGCTGAGTAACTACGGAGAAAGGAAGCAAGAAGCTCATGTTCCTTCTTTTAGAATTGAACTTTCTGGGGCTGGAAGGTAGCGTGGTGGTTAAAAATGCTAAACTCCCACATGGCCAACTGCAGTTCAAGTCCTGGACCTGGCGGCTCACTTTCTCACTTTCTCTCTCTCTCTTTCCCATCTGATCAAATTAAAAATAAATGAATAAAGTTTTTAAAAAATTCTTAAAAAAAAAAAAAAAGAGTTGAACTTCCAGGCCAAGTCCTAGACAGGCTTAATTCTTCCCAAAACTAATTCTTCTGGGGATCTGCATTTTATTGTGTAGCCCCTCAAGAACACATGTACCCAAACACTCTGTGAAGGAAAACATCGAGTCTTGTACACATCTCTGGCACTCTTTTAAGTGTATCTGGATGTGCTGGGGTTAAAATACAAAGTCCTGGGGCCAGCAGGCGGCGTGGTGGTTAAGGCACTGGACTCCCATGTGGCTGACCACTATTCAAGTCCTGGACCAGGTGGCTTGCTTTTTTGCTTTCCTTCTCTCTGTCCGTTTCTCTCTTATCAAGTTAAAAAAAATAACAAATGGAATTAAATAAATAATTATTTTAAAAAGCAAATAAATAAAATATAAAGTCCTAAAAACACTGCTTTATTCTTTTTTTTTTTTTAAATGCAGATTTTTGCTATAGAGAGAGTGGACTCGCCGGAGAGAGACAGACAAATAGAAGCAAGAAATCATCCCCTGGGGGGATGGTCATGCCACAATCCCTTCTCTCCATTCTCCTCCTGGAATTTTGAGCACCCACGTACACATGCCCGCATGAGTTTTAAGCCACCAGGTCCAGGATTAGAACTATTTTCAGCTACATGGGAGTCCAGCGACATAACCATTATGCCATCTGCTGGTCCCTATTCTTTATTCTTAATAAAGAAATATCTACATAGGTTACTAACTGTGGCCATCAAGTTGGGGTTTGAGGCCAACAGGTGGCATGAGGGTTAAGGCAGGTGGCTGACTGCATGGTTTGAGTCTGAGACCCAAGTGGCTTGGAAAACATGCTGGACATATGTGTATGCATGTCCAAAATCCCAAGAGGAGAATGGAGGGAGAGACGGAAGCATGGCCATCCCCTCTGGGCAGTGTGGGGGTGCTTTCTCATTTTCTCTCTCTCTCTCTCTCTGACTATCTCATGAGCAAATGCACCCTACAACAACAACAAAAAGAGTGAATGTCTGAGACTAAAGTTAAAAAGTGGTCCTCAGGACCAGCAGTTGGCATAATGACTATGTCGCTGGACTCCCATGTAGCCGACGTGGTTTGAGTCCTGGATGCGGTGGCTTAAATTTATCCCGGGCACATGTGCATGTGTGCCCAAGATCCCGAGAGGAGAATGGAGGGGAGAAGGGATTGCGGCGTGGCCATTCTTCCCGGGGGGTGATTTCTCGCTTTCTGTCTCTCTGTCTCTCTCTGACTTTCTGGCGAGCACACACGCGCTATAACTAAAAACCTCTCCAAAAAAAAAAGTGGTCCTCAAGGGACCAGCAGCTGGCCTAATGGCTGTCACTGGATTCCCATGTAGTTGACCACATTTCGAATCCTGGACCCCGTGGCTTAAAACTCACGCCGGGCGCGTGTGCATGTGTGCCCAAGATCCTGAGAGGAGAACGGAGGAGAAGGGATTGTGGAGTGGCCATCCCCCTGGGGGGTGATTTCTTGCTTTCTGTCTCTCTCTGTCTTTCTGGTGAGTGTACATGCTCCTAAAGCAAAAACCCCTCCCTGCCCCCCACCCCCAAAAAACGGTGGTCTTCAAGGGGCAAACTGGTGGCATGGTGGTTAAGAGAGCTGGATACCACGTGGCTGACTGCAGTTTGAGTGTTCAAAATCCTGAGAGGAGGGCAGAGAAGGGATTGTAGCATGGCCATCCTTCCAGGGCTCAGGGGGTGAATTTCACTTTCTCTCCTATCGCTCTATCTTCCCTGTCTCTCTCTAGCAAGCACATGTGCCCTAGAGCCACCCCCCACCCCCAAAGAGTGGTCTTCAAATAAAAATCATGGTCAAGAGACCAGCAGGTGGTGTAATGGTTTTGTTGCTGGACTCCCACCTAGTACACCTAGGATGGAGTTCTAGATCCAGCAGCTTAGGGAACCAGGAGTTAGCGTAATGGCTATGTCGCTGGACTCCCACGTAGTAGACCGCAGTTCGCGTCCCGGACCCCGTGGCTTAAAACTCACGCCGGGCGCGTGTGCATGTGTGCCCAAGATCCTGAGAGGAGAATGGAGGAGAAGGGATTGCGGCGTGACCATCCCCCCTGGGGGGTGATTTCTCACTTTCTGTCTCTTATGTCTCTCTGTCTGTCTGGTGAGCGCACACACCCTATAGCAAAAACCTCTCCAAAAAATGAAAAAAAAAATCTCACATACATACACACAAAAATCATGATCAATAGCTGGATGACCTTATGAAAAGAACTATGAGGTGTAAGAGGAGGACATACTTTCCAGGTATTTTTCTATCAGGTCTGATTTCATGTGATTTGTTTGCTTGTTTGCTGTAGGGTGTGTGCACTTGCAAAAGAGACAGAAATTTAGAGAGAAAGTGAAAAACCACCCACTCCCACTGGTGGGGGATAGCCATGCCACAATCCCTTCTCCTCCATTCTTCTCTCAGGACTCGGCAATGTACACACACATGCTTGGCATGTTTTTCAAGCAACGAGGTCCAGGACTTGAACCAGGCAGTTGGACGTGTGGAGTTCAGCTGCCTCAATCACTATGCCACTGGATGGCTCTAAGATGTGACTTTTGTCATTAAAAATTTCTTTTTGAAGTAAGGAGGAAGAATGGCAAGTGTGAAGAAGGTGGGATCCCTTTTGCAAGAGCTCATAGGTTGGCGGGGACTTGCCAGCCAGCCCACCACTGCACACGGAACACATCCAGAGTGCCCCTGCCCTCCCCTCGCTCAGTTTCTCTATGAATAAAAAGGCACCTCAGTAAGAGACAACTTCCTAATTAAACTCAGACTCCAAGAGAACATAGAACCAAAAACGCATACAGTACTGTTCACAGTGGCCTTCCTCCCACCTAGTGGTGGCCCCAGGCCATTTTTACAGATCTGACCAGCACTGTTGCAACCAACTCTCACTTAGCTCATACCAGAAAAACTCCCTCTCAGTCCTAAGTGCCTTAAGACTGTACTTTGTTCTCCCAGGTTGAGTCCTTCCATTCAGCCAAGTCTCCTCAAAACCAAGGTGGAGAACACGCCAGCACCTCCCTCTAAAGGGTTTGGGTTGTCTATTAATACAGAGACACATCTTTTCTTGTTAGGCCAGCTGGTAGGTTATTTTCCTAGTTCCCCTACTCACAGAGCCAATTCAGTTTCTGTTCTTTCACTAGTTCCTGTTTTTATTTTTATTACCTCTGTCCTTCGGATCTTTTCACTTCAGCACTAAGCACTGAGCTGTGTCTGGCACATGGTACTCATATTTGCATGAATTAATGTAGGCTTACATATTTATGTCTGTAATGCACTGAAATTTCTACAACATGTTACAAGGTGGTAAGACTTGATATTTAAGTGAATTTTTGAATGGATTTTATTTTTCATGAGCATCATTTACACACTAAATTGATTTTCAAATTTAAAAAGTCAGGGGCCAGCAGGTGGCAG